GGGGGGGGGGGGTGCTGGAACCCCAGGTGGGGTGGGGCTGGGGAGGCCACAGTCTGAGGCTGGCAGGATGAGGAGGAGCAGCATACTCCAGTCCCGGGAGGATTCAGGCAGGAGAGCAAGGGCTGAGATGTGGGCCTTCAGCGCTGAGCTCTCAGCCCCCAACCACCGGAGGTTGGTAGAATCAGCCCTCTTGAAGAGGCTCAGAGCCGGTAAGTGACTTGCCTGTGGCCTCTCAGCGTGCTGGGCAGAGCTCGGATTTGAACCCGCTTCTTCCATTCCCAGGTTCTGTGCAGGGCAGCCCAGCTTCCACCTCTGCACTGACCGTTCTCAGGATAGGTGGCCATGGGGAAGGACTGAACATGGTAGAGATGTCATAGAAAGTAGAGAGAGGGAGAGTTGGGAAGAGCATCGTCAGCTCCTCCCCACCCTGCCCAGAGAACCCCCAGGGGTACCGTGAAATTCGGACATGACCGGAGGCCTCCCTCAGGGGAGGAGGGATAGGAGAGTCATCACTCAGGGTCACAGCCTCTAGGAGGCAGAGCTGGGGCTGGTACCCAGATCTTTATGGACTGTAGGCTCCACTGCCACAGCAAGTTATGGTACGCATATCCCCACTCGTAACTCTGAGCACCCCTAAGGCCTGAATCAATGCTCTAGTTCAGAAAGAGCCGACCTGCCCTGGTAGGGTGAGGTGGGGTGTGGTGGGGAACTTGGACTTGGGTAAATTGGCTCAGAGCCAGAGGCCGGGCCAGGGATGGGGCTCCTGGTGGAAAGGCTGGGTCCTGCCTAATCTGCAAGGGTAAGGGTTAGCCCTCCACCAGCTCTCCAGGCAGGATGAAGGGAGGATAAGGCCAGGACAAGGGCTGGGGAGGGAGGTGAGCCCATTCTACCTGCCCTGGAATGAGCCCTGTGAGCCTGCCCTCAAACCCAGGGCCCTCAAGGAGAAGCCCACCTTGCTATTCCCCCCAGCACACACACACACACACACACACACACACACACACAC